CGGATCACAGGCCCACCTCTTTAACCTCTGCGCCACCACTCCCCAAAAGAAAATAGATCAGCAAATCAAGTGTACATGTTTGATGTAAAATTTTGATTCTGTTAAATAAATGACTGCATTTATTCTGATGGGTCAAAGATAAATGACGTCTCATGTCACTAATTATACACTCCACTCTCAAGTTATCATGGTCATATGGCAGAAATTTAACTCAAAAAAGAAAGAATCCGTTGTTAATTAAACAATTAATATTCTTTGTACTTGAAATAGCCTTAAGAATAATTAATTAATAGGATGTCCACAGCAAAAGCTGTCCTGACATACTACACACGTGATCCCGATAATTTGGATGGGTATGGCAATATAGAGTATGTCGACCCAGGATGACCTCATCCCCAGCTTTCTGTCAGTCTTGTGTACTACAGAAATGTAATATGAGAACATTTTAAGGCCTAATGAGGACCTAAGATCTCAGCAGCTTTTTCTGCCAAAGTCTATTCTTGTGTCTTCTTTTTGTTGTTCAGTTTTCAAGGCTTGCTATAGTGAGTCATCCTCCATCTCATTTTGTCCTCTGCGTCTTCTGTCCTCACTCCAACTACCTCCATGTTCTCTCTAACTGCATCCATATATCTCCTCTTTGGCCTTCGTCTTTGTCTTCTTCCTGGCAGCTGCATGTCTAACATCCTTCAACCAATGTACCCACTGTCCCTCCTCTGGACATGTCCAAACCATCTCAGTCATGTCTCTAAAATTATCTCCCAGTTGTTCAACCTGTGCTGTACCTCTGATGATCTCATTCCTAATCTTATCCATTCTTGCTGCTCCTAAAAAGAACCTCAACATATTCTGTCATTTCCAGTTCTGTCTCCTGTCTTTTTGTCCATGTCTCTGTCTCCAGACCATACAACATAGCTGGTCTCACCACTGTCTTGTAAACTTTTCCTTTGACCTTTGCTGCCTTGACAAATCATTCCTGAAACTTTTCTCCATCACTCCATCCTGCCTGGACTCCCTTTTTCACCTCTTTACCACACTCCATATTTTCATGGACAGTGGACCCCAAGTCCTTGAAGTCCTACACCTTTGTGACCTCTGCTCCTTGTAGCCTCACTGTTCCACCTCCTCCCTCTCATTCACACACATGTACTCTGTCTTACTAAGGCTGACTTTCATTTCTCTACTTTTGAGTGGATGATGACAAGTGTATTCATTTAAATGAAACTCAGAAATGAACAACTGGATGTGCATGTACAACTAAACAATTTTCAGTTCCATCAAGATTGTTCCCACAGCAAACACAGTTGTCACCAACAGTGGCAAACATTTTTAAAACTTCTTTATGATCAAGTAGTGCTCTAAGTATATGTTGTAGAAGTTACTCTTCCATGTCCTAAAGGTCTGCACTAATTTTTGTAAAGATCCAATCAGTTATTTTTTGCAGGAAAGTTTGTTCAATTCAATTCAGTTCAGCTTATTTATATAGCGTCAAGTCACAAAGAAAGTCATCTCAAGGCACTGAACAGAAATATTCATATTTAAAAATAATAATTTAATATTATGTATCTGAGGAGCAGACTGCTTTGAGTTTAACTCCATCACAGAACTTTCATATTGAGCAAGCATGAAGGTGACAGTGGAAAGGAAAAACTCCCTCGTGAGGAAGAAACCTTTAGCAGAACCAGGCTCAGGGCAATCGTCTATCTGCTTCGACCGGCTGGGTTTGAGAGGAACAGATACACAATGGCAGGTCAAGAATCACATGTTAAGATAGAAATAGTATCAAATGAAAACTATTCAGTTTTAACAATTAATTTAAGGAAATGAGGTCAATTTGTCCTCTGGTTGTCTAAGCTTAAGACAGCATGACAAGCCAACTCTAATTAAAGGATTTATCAAAAAGGAAAGTCTTAAAACTGGACACGGACAGAAACTGGAAGTTGGTTCCACAAGAGAGGAGCCGGATAAGTGAAAGATCTGCCTCCCATTCTGTTTTTGGAAACTCTACGGACTGCGAGTAAACCTGCAGTCTGAGAGCAAAGTGCTCTTTTAGGAAAATATGGAACAATAAGATCTCGAATATAAGATGGAGCTAGGTTGTTGAGAGCTTTGTAGGTTAGAAGTAAGATTTTGAATTCTATTCTGGATTTGACAGGGAGCCAATGGAGAGAAGCTAAAACTGGAGAAATATGATCTTTCCTACTAACTCCAGTTAAGACTCCGGCAGCAGCATTTTGGATCAACTGAAGACGTTTTAAAGAAGTATTTGGACACCCTGATAATAAACCATTGCAATAGTTCAGTCTAGACGTGACAAATGCATGGACCAGTTTTTCTGCATCATTTTTTAGATCAGATGTTTCTAATGTTAGTGATATTACGCAGGTGGAAGAAGGTGGTTCTAGTAACGTTTTTAATGTGGGGGATAAAAGACGTGTCCTGATCAAAAATAACACCAAGATTTTTAACATTAGAGCTGGAGGACAGATTAATGCATCTAAAGAGGGAGAAAGACTGAAACATTCATTCCTAATGTGCTCAGGTCCAAATACCAAAACCTCAGTCTTGTCTGTGTTCAACAGGACAAAATTAAGGGTCATACAGGTTTTTATATTATGCAATAGTGCTCCATATGAGCTAATATTGATCAAATATGTTCCAGTAACTCCAAATTAATCCCCCCATTGACTTTGTACTGTTTATAAAACTGAGTTTATTGCAGCCCCTCAGACTGAAGAAGTCTTTTGGATAAAAGACAAAATGTTTCAAGAAGAAGAATCCATCCAGAGGACCTGACACAACCTTTTTAAATAAGGATAAGGAATTTAAATATTCGAGCTGTCTTTAATGTTATATTATTTATTAAAATCTATTACTACATAATTTCATCACTGATGTTTGTGTTGCAGTGCATTACGTTAGTCTTGACAGTGTATCAGGTCTTTAGTGGCAAAAACAGCAATAAAAATAAACAGTGATTGTTTTTTTCTTTCAGACTTTCACTGTTATGGTTTTCCAGCTGTGACAAGTACATTTTTGTTCAGGCAAACAATGTTGGAGATGAGGAGGACTTTGGACATAGCACTTTTCCAGTGTTTCCTAGTACAAGACCAACTACATATCACTAAAAGTTGGATGGGCTTGGGGTTTATCTTCTGTGAAAGCAGAGCTTTGCAACAATAAATGGTACACAGAAATTAAATGGAACATAAAAAGTGCAACATTATTTGGCCTTTAGAGCCATGGCTGTGCCTTGGAGTTACTTTCAATTAGTTTTATATAAAAACAGAAAAATGTAAAAACAAAGAGGCCAGTCTTCTGGAAGCTAGTTTTCTTGATTTTGTGATGTAGAAAAACTTAAAAAAATAATATTAAAACCCACAACCAAAATCAGCATATTTTGGCAACAAAACATACAGTGCTGGGAAGTAAATTTTGCAACATTTCAAATGCTGTCATTTTATGTACTATTTCTTTTGTTTTGAGATTGTTAGGACTTATTATTATTATTTTTACAAATATTTTAGTTGGAGAGAATATTTCTATGGAAGTCAGGGAATAACGTTGTAACATAGAAGTTCCTGCACATTTAACCTGCAGATTTTGCCTTGATTCCTAAATAATTATTTAATTTACAGATAAATATTTTATCAGCACAAAGTCACACCTTTTGTCTCAGTCCTGTTTTCCTCAGTCTGAACCCTCAACATCAGAGTTATGAATGTCTGCCCACAATTTGAATCAACAGTTATCAGTCAGACATTCAACTAAACACAACTACACACCTGATTATGAGTCTGGCTGAAGAGAGAAGTGAGAGACAGACTTTTGAGCTAGAAGCTAAAAGAGTGAGAAATAAAAGACAAGTTAGAAGAAAAAGACTTGGCAGAAACACTGCACAGGAAGAAGAAAACAAAATAAACACAGGGTAAAGGTACTGTATAGACTTCAGCAGTTTGATGATTCAAACTGCCTAAATATTTTCCACAGAAGTAATTGATGATTAATGCTAAAAAAAACTCCTATATATAATACTTCCCTTTAGTCACTTAGAAAGAGAATAACCGAAACATAGAAAAAATATACACAGTAGTCCCTCGTTTATTGCAGGTGTTTGGGACCACGCCACCTGCGATAAGTGAAAAACCGCAAAGTAGGGATACAGTACTTCAAGTTCAAATTCAGTAAACTTTGTCATGACATGTGCCAGGCTGTAATCACACTCATCACCTGTTTCTCCCAATCTCCCTCCATAAATAAACAATTTAAATTTAAATATTGCAACATTTTAAATAAACAATCCATGAAGCATGACAGCATGACAGCAAAGGGTTAACCCTTCACACAGCTCTGCAGCACGGAGCAGAAATGTACTTCTTGATCAATTACACTGAAACAACAGGACATAGAAGTTCTAAAATTACTTTAAAATAACTTTTAACACTTTTATAATTTGTGATTAAGACAATTTTACAATGTGACATACTTTGAATTTTAAGTTGGAAAACAAAAGTCGGTTAGTGCATCTGGACAGTAAAGGGTTAACCCTTCACAAAGCTGATGCAGCAGGAGGAGAAATGCAGGAGGGAGCTTCCCCTGCACCTGTGGACTGCACACATCGTGCAAAATCGTTTAAAATAATTTATTTTAAATAAACAATGCATGTCTCATCCATCAATCAGCCAGTTGTGTGTCATGTCCAATCTTACTTTGAAAAACCGCAACAAAATGAATTGGCGAAAAACGAACTGCGAAGTAGCGAGGGACTACTGTAT